GTGATTGCCCAGTTCTCCAATCTGTCCAGAGTAGTGAGTAAGAGCAACTGATTCTAAGTTACTACATTGTAGTACGTGGGGATTAATTCCAGTGGTGGCTTTCTCTACACCTTTAGTTTTGTGGTGTTAAAGGTAAAGAACCCCTTTTGGTATGGACTGAAAACAGTGCTAGTTTAGTATTAAGCAATGCCACGTAACTTTTACAAATGGTACATGTTTGCAAATGTTTTGCAAAAATAAAGTTTTCTCATAAATTGTGTGCTACCTATAAGTATTTGAACGTCTTGGAAAGCATATGTTCTTTGATTTGTACTTTTTAGAAGGACAAATATACCGACAGCTTTGAATTTAGAGGGGGGCCTGGTTTTACACAAAAAAGGACAAAGTAGCTCTTCTCCAGAGAAGACATAGCCAATTTCCCCTCCCCCATTAAACAGAAATATAACCTGATTGCATATAAATAGTTTAAGTAGATATTACAGCATCTTTTTCATGATACTTCCCTCTCCCCCGCACTAGTAACCTTTAAAAGTTTTTGTTAGAAAGTGGTTTTGAGGTGTTTTTTCATGTCTTAAGAGAAATTAAATGTTAGAAGAAAAATTCATATTTAACTTCAAGTCATTCTTCTCCTTTCTGCCCCAAATACATACACCCTTATCGTGTGAGAGTATGTAGGCAATAGCCCTGGAATAGGTTGTTGCTGTGTGGTAGGAGACTGTTCTCATTTATTAAAGCAGTTCATATGTTCAGGATTGTCCTTGCTTCTTATAGTTCAGCTGTACTCATTTTTCAAAGCAATAACCTAATTGCTTGTACTAATTAAAGCCTGTTAGCAAAGCAGTACAGTATTTAGGTCAGCTTTTCTTCACTGTCCTTTTGTGCTTGTGCCTCCTGTTCCTGGCATTTCCCAATTGCTGCAGGTCTTCTTTTCAGACTTGCAGCGTGTCAGCCTTTGTTGTGATGCTTGATCTTCTACTGCTGTCCTGTTCTGCTTTAAACCACCTGACCCATTTTCTATATTGTCATCCTGTACCACTAGTAAAGACAAAAGGCTGGCAAAATTCAAATAGCGTCTGTCAGAGATGTACATAACTAGACTGGTGTTAAATGGTGGAGTGTCGAGTGGGCAGTCTGAATTGTCCTTTGGTTGGAGTGATCTGTAGTTTGGTGTCTAGTTTGCAAGCTTGGTGAAGGTGCAGAGAGCATTAGTGTTGAGAAAAAGAGAAGGTTAGCTCCAAGAAACTTTCTTCAGGCTCTCAATTTACTTGCAGCTGTTTCCAGATGTGTATGAATGTTTGACGGGGAACTCTGGACTGGAGTGGATTCTCTGTCATAGGAGAGGGGAAGGATAAACTATGGGGTATGTAAAATCAACTGTGTGTTGCTGTCCTGCAGTTAATCTTTTTTTCAGTATTAGAACTGCTAAGTTGATGCTTCCAAGATGCAGTGTTTGTGTGCAAATAAAATTTTGTAGACAAAACATTCTTTAAGTGATAAGAGACACATCTCTTGAGTTACACATCTTGTGCCTTAGATTCAGATGCACTTTTAAACTATTTCCCATGTAGCATGGAATTTGCTTGTGTAGCAGAACAACTATTTATTTATTCATTTTAAATCTATTCCACTCCACTCTTGAGGTGAGTCTTATCCTCAGCTTGGCCATCCCTTTTACAGTTACGCCTTCTCTTCCATCTCCTATGACTGACCGTGCCACTCTTCATATAAAAATTCCTCCTGGAATTTCATTCTAACATGTGAAATGAAACTTGTCTATTACCATCTGACCTGATAGTTGTTTATGAGGATATTTTTCATCTTCCTGGAGAGGAAGATCTTGAAACTTTGGAAAGAATTGAAGCTCAGATTAGTACTTCTGCAAGGAGGAGGAGAATGTTTTTGTAAAGAAAACAAACTAAAAGTACAGAGTGCTCTTCCTCACATTGCTTTCGTTATCAGTATTTGTCTTTTCTGACAAGGTTAGGCTGTTCTCTGGGAACAGTTTTCTTGAGTTTGAAAATCAGTTAGCACGCTGTGTAACAGCTATAGAAGAAATTTATAAACAAATGTTTTCATGTTGTCTTTTCTCCTATTAGGAAATTCTTTCTGGAGTCGTGGTCATAACAAGTAAGGATACAGTCCAGCACCAAGGTATCTCATTAACAATGGAAGGATCAGTAAATCTGCAGCTTAGTGCCAAAAGTGTGGGCGTGTTTGAAGCTTTCTATAACTCTGTCAAGGTAAGACCTGTGCAGGTTAATATTTTTAGCACAAAACTTTTGTGTCTTTTCTCAAATTAAAGCTTTCCTTAATGGCTTTCAGGTAGTTACAGCACTTCATGGTATATAAATGATAGAAAGCAGAGAAATGCTCAGCATTACCTAGTGATATATGATGACATTTTTGGGGAGGAACTTGCACTTATTGAAGAGTGTTCTTTAGGGTTGAAATGCAGTAACATGAATAGAATAGTTACTGGATGATGCATTGAAGGACCATGACTTAAAGAAAAATAATAAATTTTGTGTTGTTTTTTTTTTTTTAAAGTGACTGGGTTTAATTGGACTTTTGTGCCAGATCAGCCACTATCACAGTAGTTTCTGCAGAGGCCATTGAGGTTGTGTGTTACTGGGCACCATAAAGGACCCGCACAGATTCTTCTGTGGAGTACAAGGCTGTGCACAGACTGTTTGACTGCAGAGCTCCTGGAAGGCCTCTCTACTGCTGTCCGGGTTTGGAAGTGTGGGGTTTGGGAGCTAACAGGTCAAGATACCTCAGGCTCCACACAAACATGGCTGTACTGACTGAAGCAAGGCTGGCTTTGTCTAGAGGCAGAATAGCTACATTTGCAAAACTGTTTGCTTAAGTTAGGATAGCCTCGGTGCAGGACCTTTTAAAGCCTTCATTTGTATCATAGTTAATTTTTTTACAGTATGAATAATCTGCCCATGAATGATTGAAAAACAGAAAAAACAGTAGAAGCAATAGATTTTCTTATTTCTGTCTAGTAGAGGTAAAACTCCAGAGAGAAAAGGTGTAATCCTCATGCAGGCTTCCCCAGTTGAATCATAGTTAACCATTGTTCCAGTGAACAACTAGCCCTAAATATAGATCTTTAGAGTGGGAAAGGGCCAGGAAGAAGGTAGGAGGGAATGGTGAACTGCTCAACTGGCACGCATAG